TATATATATACCGTATATATAAACGTTCATAATATATAATCATAATATATGTAGGGCCTATATATAATAGGTTAACGTGTTTTAGAAAGTAAATAAAACGTTAATATTTGATAGGCCTACACGTTTTGATGTTGAATTTGTGTTCCTCGAGTTTTTTTTCCAACTCCTTACTTAGGCCTAACCTAAATATATTATTTATCCTAAGATCTCGCTGGAATGTAGGCATTGATAGCTATTTTTAGTTGTTATTATTATTAGATTCTTGATTATAATTCCAGGCTTGTTTTCATTGCCTCCCGAGAACTTAAGAGGTAATATCATTTTAATTTGCTAGAATTGGTCATTTAACAGGTGTGCATAATTTACCGAAAGTAGGTTTACTGTAGTAGGCCTAGTCCCATAGCATACCGAACGTTTTGCTAGTTTTAAATCCTGTAGATAATACAGTTATGTGACCCAACATAATAAAATTTCAACACATCTCAGAGGTATTAAATTTAATAATGTAGGCCTACATAGCATCTCTATACTTGTGTTTACAGTGCATAGAGACTTTTAGTATTTTGTGCTATAATAAATTTAAAAACATTAACCATTACATAATGTTCCACCACTGACTTTCTAAAGAGCTTTCTTCCCACAGTCCACCATTGCTGAAACTATATAAAGCGCGCTTTATCCAAGGTTATTAATGTAATTAACATAGATGCATTTAATTAGTCTATTTAGATTATCGAAACATGAGACAAAACACCTGAACTGGCCTATCAAATAATTAATATAATGAGAACAAACGTGCATAAAACAAAAACAACCATGAGTTTTGTTTCATCAGTAGGAATAGTTACGCCATGGTATGTGGGATAATGTGGCTTATAATGGGATCATAAATAATCCTCCTCCGCAGCAGAATGTAGTTCCCAACACCTGTCTTGTTTGTACCTTTTTACAGCTGTTATGCAACTTACAATAGTTATCCACTTGAAACCGGATTGGGGGCGTTATAAATAAAATAACACTTGGATTGGTATTTTCTTTTTTAGTCTGTCAACAATCCTTTTTTGCGTACCGCCATCACGTGTCAGTGGTTATAATAGTTGGGTTTTTTTTTTTTTTTTTTTTTTTTTTTTTTTTTTTTTNNTTCAAGTATTATAGGCCTACGCCCACCTTACATAGACTGCATGATATGTCCCTTGTACGTATTCGCTGAGGACTGACTTCTATGAACAGTTTTAGTTTACCCTCCTTATCATCATTATCATAATCATGATAATGATTGATTTGCAATTAATAGTATAAAATCGACCATGATAATGATCGATTCTAAGTAAAAAGTATAAACAGACTTTATCTACATTCTTATAATGATTAGCAACACTTCAAGTTTCATATTTGTTGAATCACAAAAACAGGATAATTCACCTCTAAATTCTGATTTTCAAAATTGGTCGTCGGTAAAAACCTTCAACAAGAGTGGTCGAACAAAGAGAGTAGCATAAATACTAACGTCGTAAAATTATTTTAAAACATGAACATTCCAAAATAGAACATATGGAAAGTCTGTCTATCGGTGTATTATATTAGCCATTTATGTTTATATATACACCCCTGTATTTGTTGATATTAACTGCCTAAATTATACTTACTGCTACAGTAATACGCACCGCAATTTATCCGTTGCCAGATATTGTTTATATTTATTTCATTTCGCTAGTGAGTCATACCTGATATGAAAGTTAAAGTTTAGTTTAAAATTATATTACAGATGACACGAGGAGGCGGATAGGTATCGATGTTGGCGAATGTCGTAAAATATCGAAGCATTCAAATGAAAGACATCAATTAACTCCTGAAAGAAAAAATCAGGTAAGGTAGACGTACCGGTAGGCCTACAGTACTTTATCGATGAAGACAGAATATGATCTCTTGTCTATGTTCTGTATTCACTCCACCACCTGGCCTCCGTCAGTTAGCGTATTTTTTGCACGTTGATGCTGTTCTTTGATTTGTTGCCAAGATAATTTAAATAATGGAATTTCTATATTTTTAATGCGAATAAATCAATAACTGGGTTGTTCCATGTCCAATTATAGTTTGCTACCAATCTAAATGTGCAAAATAGTGCATGAAGCATTTATATAAATGATAAGCAATCTCATATTATTGTCATTATTGTTGTGAGATTAGCATTAAATATTATTTTAACATATAATAATACTAGTTGAGTGTATCTCTTGTTGACCAAAATGAAGTAGACGTACCTGCTACGTTTCAGCTACGGTTTCAGAAGCCTTGATCACGCGAATAACGTAATTTCATGGAGTATAATGATATTGTTTATACCTATTTTTGTATAACTTTTCAAAATGTATTTTTAGTATTTATCAATAGTCATATGTATTTATCTTATATAAATGCTGGTTTTTAGATGTTATTTAAGATATATCGGCCCTAATGACATTTTCCCACAATCAATAACATTTTTAGACCTATGTACTATCTTAATAAAATAACTGTGTGCTATTAATTTCTTTATATTTGCATAGAAATAAAGTAAGTTTTCGTTCACTTGGGTGATTGGGTTTCGGTAGTCTTCTTCCTTTATTATCGGCCTATTTGAAAGGTGGACTTAGGAATCTAGTCAATGTTCGGCATACCTGAAGATTAATATCATTGCAAATCGCCATTTTATCGATTCGTTGAGGAATTCCTTCTTGCCCAGTGAAATTCGTGGATCTTTTATCCACGATTTTATCACCATGAATTTAAATTTAGCCTCTTCGGAAAGAGAACAATGCAAACAAACTCGATACTTAATTTCAATTATTCCACGATTCTTTACTTATTTAACACATGGTAGAAGCGCATTCAGGGGGATTACGCGGTGGGGAAAAGATAGCAACGATTTCTTTTATTCGAGGGTTAACTTCATGTTATTAGTCGACAATTCAGTATCTCGGAGCTTTTATAAGACTAGCTTGTGAATTATCCCCAATTGTCCACCAGTGCAAGCAAGGTGTTAGCTGGCGGTATCCATTTACATAACCCGGACCAGTGCCGCCTACTAGGTTCTGTCGTTGACGCCAACGGAATGAAAGAGGTTGGGCTTGGCTTTGACAAACTTAATTGAGCGTGATGGCGCACTTCAAAGTCTTTCATTACTAACATACCGTGACGAAATGTTCATAACAGATACAGTAGGCTGACTGTATTTTATTCTTTATTTAATAGACAAATTGATGGTTTATATTCATAGATTCTTTCTTATTTGTATGAATATTCAATATGTACATAATGAAAAGTTTGATGGTTCCCATAACATACACTACGTTTAAACGTAACCATATACAGTAGTACATAAATATTAAAAATTTGAAGCGAAATAATGTTATTGTAGCACAGAGTGATTTGCAATACCACTTAATACACCACCCCAATGATGAATTAGTCTATTCATTCATCATTTCCAAACGTCCCTGTAATTTTATTTGGGCTGTCTCTTATACACATCTAGATGTGTATAAGAGACAGTATATATATAGCATCAAACCAAAACTCGTCCTTGACTGCATTTCTCGCAATCGATGGGACGCAATGCTCTAACTGTCTTTCTTTTAGGCTCATTGAGTGGAGTTTTCTTTAATCGTGAGAAAAAAAAATGAATTGAATCCTGGGATTGGACGGATGTTTTTACTACCGAACTAAAGCTCAATTTTAACACACCCATCAATCTACTTGCTAATTTTTTTTTAATTCTGAAAAGGAATTCCGTTCTTAATTTTAGTCCAATGACATCTTATCACTTCCAACACACTCGTACACCTGCAGACCAGTTGCAGCTTGACTGACTGAAATCGTAACAAAACATTTTAGTAGGCAAAGAAAATTAGGTAAACGATGGTATTCTTCGGCTTAGTAAACACACTGCTTGCAGGTGAGTAAATACCGTGTGTGAAAAGATGGAGAACAATTGCTAGGCCCTAGATAGCCCAACTAGCTGGTAATTGTTACTAAGCCTTTAAATAAAACTAATGAATTGCCATAGTTCAAGCGAACAATGAGGTTGGAATTGTCGACAACATACAACTGCAGTTGTTTTCAACCCCCAGCTAAACAATTTTTTGGAATGAAGCCACCTGCAAATTAAAGCCCTGTGAAAAAATAGCCGAATACGAATTCGTTTTCACTAGTAGTAGTAGTATCATCATCATCATCATCGTCATCAACCATCATCATCATCATCATCATCATCATCATCATCATCATCATCATCATCATCATCATCATCATTATCATCATCATTATCATCATCATCATCATCATCAATATCATCATCATCAATCATCATCATCATCATCATCCTCATCATCAATCATCATCAATCATCATCATCATCATCAATCATCATCATGTATCATCAATCATCATCATTATCATCATCATCAATCATCATCATCATCATCATCATCATCATCATCATCATCATCATCATCAGTATTATAATACTGCACAGTAGGCCTACGTGACTTTGGACTTGTTCATACGTCCTTTGGCTGAAACCTATCAAAGATGGTTCCACGAAAAATGTAAACAAAACAAAAGCATGGGGATATAAGCGTCAATATCTCTGTTGTATTCAAAACACTGCACTATTCATTCGTCTGACGTATATGATGTATGAATTACTTATACTATAAATCCTAGAATGTATGTATAGGACTATAAGTTTTCGTATTTGTTAATTAAAGTAGAATTTCCAGTGTTTTAATGATTCTACATATATGTAAAAATGCATACATTCTGAGCTCTTCATATTGTAAATATGATGCAATACCTCACTTATCTGACCATTGACCAAGCGTAGTGCAGTGGTACACGCCCACTGACCGCGCGTACTGTACCTGTACGCGCGACTAGACGTCATATGTGTAACTACTGTTACCACTTTAAGTTCATGACCGAAAGATCTTGGCCAACTCTTGCGTCTCTGTTAATCGTTTTTTGATCGAGGGGTGTTTAGATGACAGTTGTCGTTTTTATACAATAATAAAAAGTAGCTCTCGAGTGAATAAATGTGGGCGAGGTATTTCAAGTTTCATTCGAGTTCAAGTTCCTAAAATCCAAAAAAGCTTATACAATTCCGATTTTCACTTGTCTTTGAATTAGATCGAGTGGTTTAGGGCGCCACATTAATAAGATACCATTTCATATTGTACTTTAAACTGTACTAAATGAAACAATAAACAGATTGTCCTGAAAATCAAAAAAAGCTTTTAAAATTATGATTTTCTTTTGTATTTTACAAAGTGGATTATTGACAGGCTCTTGTGTATTCTACTTAAACAAATTGTGCTGGAAATAGTTAACATTTTACAAATTGTTTTAAAATATATTCCCCTAAAATATTCTAGGTCAATCTGAAATTCAGGTAAAAGTTTAAAGTAATTTTACGCATAGATTTTAAGAATGATACTGCAATAGATACTCTAATTAAAATTTCATTTCATTACAGTGTTCGCAATGTCCTGAGACGAGTGAATGCGTTGCCTCGCAATTGCGTGTGCAGCGCGTGTACCTGGTTGGTGAACCCAAGGTGTTCGATATCGTTCAGGAGTGTGAATGCGTTCAAACGCCGCCCTCGTGTGAACGAAGGTCACAGACGAAGGTTTTCTTCGAGGACACGCCCTACGAAACAGCGGTGGATGTTGGAGTGTGTTCCGGTCCTTGCTCTGAATCTGATGGTACGTCTACAAAAATATATAATATTTCCCTAGTGATAAAATGGCAAGAAAAATTAACATGATAGTGATCACAAATACGCTAAATTTAGTGATGATGATGATTATGATGATGATCATGATCATGATCATGATGATCATGATCATGATCATGATTATGATGCTGATGAAGATGATGGTGATGATGATGATTGAATTGAATTGACAATAGGAATACGACAACGATTCTGACGATGACAATGATGATTAGTAGTATTATTACTATTAAATCTAACAAAATATAAAAATATAATTAACTTCAAACTTTATTTTTTATTAGTATATGGGATTGCATTATGGTATTAGTATGTAGTAAAAGATAAAACAATATGGTAACATCGAATGCTAACTGTATAGAATAAGTAAATAATAAACCAAAAATATGCACAAAAAAAAACACAAAGATGATATTTGCCGGGAAAAAATAAGTTTTAGGGGCCACAGTAGCATAAAAATACAGTATATGCGGCAGTAAAGATGTTATCTCACAAAACCAAAGATTCCATCATGAGCTAAAAATTCTTTTTAAAAAATAGCGAAAATGGCACCACAATCGAGAGAAGAATATTAATCCCCAATTCCACCATCATATGTCAACACTTAAAACCGTGGCTGACGTGACGTGGGTACGCTTTCTGTTGCCATCTGCTTCTCGCCGATTCGTGGAACTAACGTTTGCTCGCTCATCTCTCAGCACTTCATTTGAATAGCGTCGATAATTATCTAATCTTAGGAAAATAATGTCAAAGTTGATTTTTTATTTTTTAGAAAATGGATGTGGGGAAATGCGTCGGAACTTGCACGAAAGATTCATCTTTGCAATGTATTCTCAGGTAAGTGAAAATCTAATTAGGCCTATGTGAAATAAACACAATATTCCTTAAAAACAGAGAAGCAGGACCAAAAAGGTTAAGAAAATTATATTGTACCATTTTTTTGTCATTTTAGTATTGTTGTTAATAATAAATGCATTTTAACTAATATTGTATTTCAGCTATTAAATATACCATTAATATTGTCTAACACCGTGCAGTAATGATTAGTGAACAGTTTTCAAAAAAATTTTAAATTATTATTATTATTATTATTATTATTATTATTATTATTAAATATTAATTGTCTTTATTATTATTATTATGTTCTTTTTGATATCATTGCAGATCACCATCGAATCCTGACGAATGCTTAATGTCATTGATGAAGAAAACGAACTGCAGTCCGCAGTCGTACACTCAGCATAACTTCCAAACGACAGGAAACAGACGACAAACGGTATTAACTATCAACGAATGTGGATGCTAGAAACACCAGCTACCTCATATAGAAATTTAAATTCGTATTTAATATCCAGAAAAACACGGCTATTACTGTACACGTACCACCACGTGATCATATTTATTAGGATATAGGACTTCACAAAATTGATAACGAATATTTTGCCATTCGAGTCTTAAAATCTAAAATGCAGTTGACAACGTTTTCACAAACTGCGTGTGTACAGACGGTTTCCCCTCAAGTTTGGAGATTTCTGCACGAGACTTCCGAATTGTCCTATTTTATGGCGAGTTAATTTGACAATTCAGGCCTGTATTAACCAAGTACGGGTATAGATTTACTCGGTCCGAATCATAATTCGATAAATATATATTTTTAAATGATATCCGATTAAATGATAGCCAGTCACGCTTTTGATAACTTTTGGAATGTTGACTGAACCAAAATGGATTGGGAGAGATGCCTTTAAAATGGTTGAAGTATAAATAAATGTGAACTATAAATATATTTTTATGACTTCAGTACAATAAAATGATAGGCTAAAAGACCGATGCGTCAAAGTGAAAAATTAGCATATTCGATAAAAATTAGAAGATTCGATGAAGATTAATAAATGAACTTGCCGAAAAAATAACTTCCCCCGTTCCCGCATGTTTTATATGATTTTACCTGCTTAGAATTGATTAGAAATATGATTATTTGATTTTTAAAAGAGTATTATGTGTCCTGTTATATTTGTTTTTAACACAGATAAAATATTAGGTGGATATAAAAAATGTGTGTCGGACTATTTTGATCAGCTACTATAAACTATATACTACCAAAGGCTATTGTACATTGGAATCGTTTTTTGGGGGGTTTTTTCGAAATATAGATAATGATTTTTGGATTTATAAACAGATTTGAATTGATTTTTAAAATAGTTATGAACGTAATAATGTGCCAGCATATTCTGTAAATAAAAAAGCATACGGAATTATGGGGCCGATTTCAAATTTGGGCCTCTCCAATTTAATCACTATTTTTCCAAATACATTTTTTTTATATTATGTTAAAATGTAATGCTATTTTTTACAGTCAGTATTTGTGAATGGAGCTGTTTTATATATGCTGCATTGTTATATATGACTTTGATTAACGTCTCATCTTCCGATGTATAGGAAGGACAGTTGCTCCATAAATTTGCAAATATGAACTATGTTGGTATTTATTTTAATGGTCATCCGATATGTCATCCGTTTTTCAGGCGAATAGCCCCCGGTGCGCACTGTTAATTTTAATGTTCCGGATGTAGGCTCATCCATGCTGTCGTTTGCTTTGTAAATATTTACTACAATTAGCCATTATGGTAGTTAGCTAGCAGAAAAATATAACTTTACCTATTGGTGAATTTATCATATTAAGATTTATTGCTTATTCTATTTATTAATAAAAAGACATTGAAAGATGCCAGACGAGCGAGAGCTGTGACTGAAGTGTCGGTTTCGGATGAGCCGTAGAACTGTGGGTGTGGATAAACCATCTAAGCTAAAGTCATCAGGGACTTGGTTTTTATCAGGCTTGATGAGTGAAAAGATTTCCCTTATAGATAGAAATTATAAAACTCAAATGATCATGCTTCGTGGAAGGAAAGAAACGCTGACATTTTGCTGTGAATAATGTAAATAAAGTGATGTATTCAAATTAGGTGTTTATTGAATTCTTATTTTTGTCGTTACCAAATTATATATTATTCCATAATTGTACTAAAAGACAACTTAAAAGACACTACTGATTTACGTCATTACATCGTTTAACGTTCTAAAAATCGGATGCTGTGTTAATGCATATAAAATGTCTATTCAGATTTGAAGATAAAATTGGCATTAAAATTCGACGCCCATTTTAATTCGAGACCTTCTAAGTCGAGACCACTTTCATAAAAGTATGTTGAAATAGAACAATATGATTTATATCTGCACACAAGACTATATCAATTAATGTTGTAAATATCCATTAACGCAGAGTTCAATATGGCTCCACATGTTACTGACCAGCGTGACCACTCACAATTTTTGATATACCCAATGACTGGGTCGAAATTACCCAAGATTCAGCAAAAATTGCCCAAAAATACCCAAGCTTCCTGAAAATGCATTAAAATTTGAAAAAACGTGTTTTTTCGCAAGTATAGTTTCCCTTTTAGTTCAATTTATAAACCATTTTTTATTGTAATTGTTTGTGTTAATTATGAAAATTAATATTCATGAGGTGATAATACGGATAGAAAAATACGCCCTCAGTCGGCCAGTGTTATCAGTAGATCAGTGATCAAGTTTTATTATGTAATGCATTAATTAGGTAAGATCAATGGCAACGCAAATCACAAAAAAAACCCAATTCTGAACCCATTTTTATAGCAATTAACAATGTTATGTGCACTTCATTGAGTTTTGCTTACTTGAATGGACTGAAATATACTTTGTTACTTCTTAATTCTTCCTCTATGACAAAAATATTTAATTTTCTTAGTAAAAATAAAATACCCAAGGATTTGAACAGAATACCCAAGAACCCAAGACCAAAATACCCAAGATCTTGGGTAAATACCCAAACAGTGGTCACACTGTTACTGACCCACGCGTCGCAAACGTAAAGGCTGGTAACGCCCAATCATTTGTCCATATTTATCTGTATCGAGATTGTATGACGTGCTTCAAAAATGAACTAAATGACCTAGACCTACTTTTTTACTAGGACATAATATGTTTTGCTAAATATAATTGGACTGTTTTACATTAAATAATAAGGTCGCACAGGAGAAGTTACACCACTCGATTACAATGTTTGACAACCTTATCATGAAACAAGCCCATCCTTGTCATAATTTAATGTGCAATATGTACTTTATATTAGCATAGTTGATTGTTGAAAAGTTTACTATTCTGAATGAATTCATAAGGTAAAATATGTTACCTGACACTTACGTTAACACTTGAAATATTAGAGATAATACCACTTTAATACTTTGGGGTGGGTTGTGTGGGTGTGTAGAACAGCTGCCCTGGTGAACTTTTGCTGATATAAATAGCCTACTTAAAGAAACAATAACAACTCAAGGAAGACGTGATTATTCGTTATGATAAAAAAAATGTTATTTACAAACTGAAGTTATCGATAAATTCGAATCATATCAATTAATAAAATATAATAATAATAACAATAATAATAATAATAATAACAATTATGATAAAGATGATGATATTGATACTTAAATTTCTTTTAAACAAATGGTAACTATAGTGTCAATAATGACATATTATTGATAGACCTAATGATATTGAAGATTCAGTGGTGATGATTATAATAATGGAGATGAAGAAGATAATGATGATAATGTTGAGGACGATCATCATAATTAGAGAAAGATATAATGGACAGAGAGACAGACACACAAACGGAACGAAATAGTGAGATAAAATGGATTTGTCTCAATATTGGATGGGAATGATGTAGGCCTAAGTACAGATAGAGGCAGTGAGCTCAAATATTGAAAAATAAATTATGGTGGATAAGCTGAAAAAAACCCACGAAAAATTCTAAGGACAGTGACGTATCTAGGGGATGCATGGGGCAGCGCACGCCCCTCCCCTCCCCCAAAAAGCTCTCTTCACCGCCACACCCCTCTCCCCCGGAAAAATTCGAGGCAGAATCAATTACGCTTAAGTCCTATAGATAAAAATTACCTCATCATCTTGTTGAAATTGCTTGGCACTATGTATTGTATCTTTGTGTGAGCTTGTTGCTTGCTGACCTAACTTGTGTTTGATGTTTTGATGAAATGTTGCTTCCTATGATATTTTCTTTACTGGGATCTGCGGAGGACCAGCGATTTTATTCCTGAGCAGTCCCCAGGATAAATAATAAAATAAAATAAAAGATACGAGCAAGCTCCCCCTCATCTAATCGAGCCCCCACTTCACTTTCGCCCATCACCCCTTCCCCACCCCCATTATTACAAGACACCTTGATACGCCACTGACTAAGAGAGGAAAAAATAGATAAAGTGGCAGAAGTGAGAGGAAATCAGCTACAATGACAAAATGCTGACGTGACATCATTTTCATTTTTATACACACGTCTGCATTATGTATACAATATCATTTTCATTTTCATTGCGTCTGCAAATTTAACTTTTGTTCCAAGTATTTCACAACAGTATAGAAAGAATAACCTTATGCCCTTTTACGCCAATCAAAGTACAGTTTACATTAAATAGCAATGAGATTACCTAAAAAATATAAATACACAATATCAAAACAACTCTTGTAGAAACCGTGTTATTGTTATAAATCTGGTTATTGATATGTTTGTTTAATAAAATGCTTCCGGTTCCATTTGCTTCTACGGCCACTTTCTACACTCAGGTGCTGCTCGCGAATTAAAAACAACATTGTCACGGTTCCGTAGTGTCTATATCCGTATCTTACCTTGATATTGATTTAGGATAAGAGAGCAAAATATTGTCTGATAAGAGTGTACTAATTACTTGATTTTCATATCGTCGTTATTAGTAAATATAATCATTGGATTAGACGCATGTTTTTTACTGTGACGAGATTTTATCATCCCGGAAATTTTGAGGCTTATTCAGGTAAATTGACCTTTTTTGCAAAGCTTAACAACACCAGCCTATGTAAATTATCGTTATATTAAATACTTTTCACAAAGTTTTTTTTCTGATCTTATTAGACAACAAGATGTTCGTTACGTTCGATAATGATGATAATGTTGATGATGATGACGACGACGATGATGACGATGACGATGATTAAGATGATGAACATGATGATGATCATGATGATGGTATAGTGGTGTAGAGGAGGTAGAGGAAGAGGGGGACTACGATAATGATGATTGTGATGATGATAATTATGATAAGGATTATTGATGTGATTGTAACTGTAGATGTGACTGATTTATACATATTATAACATAAATAATGTTTTGTATAATAATATATAAACATTTGGTACTTAAGCACTTTACTTATTCTTTATAAATCTTTAATATGATTTGACCCCTGTGACCTTATAATGTGGTCTCCAGGTCCACAAAAGTCATTGTCAAATACCATTAGTATGACGTCTTATAAATGGGGTTGCAATCCCAGCTGCTGTAGATTCGGCATTAACAATAACACTTATTTCAATTTATACGGAACTAATTAATTTACTCATTTTACTCCATCATGTAGGCCTATATCAAAACAAATTATTATTTGATTAAGGACAACAATAAGTGAGGAAGAGTGATTCATAATAACAGGTCTGTTTACACTAAGGTCCTGATTTTACAGATGACGTTTCAAATAATAGCTAGGCTACGATGTATCCTGTTTATACAAACCACTATCTGTCCGTCATATCGATATGTATATACACGTACTCAATCATTTTATTTACTTCTTGCTTAGCTTGAACACTTTCTTGTCGCCTGACCCCGGGGATAACCTGGGTTAATAAACCAGGCTGTACAATTGTTTGCTGAAACTCCAGACAGAAACAGTAGTAATTGTATACATATAGTTACCGTCGTATAGAAGTGGGACTTCGATTCTTGAAATGTGCCTATTGTTAAATATATATATATATACTGTCTCTTATACACACCTAGATGTGTATGAACTCATTCACTGCCCTACTCATAGGTGGCAATCAAGACAAACATACAGACAATATGTTCCACATATTAAAGTAAGTCTCATCGTGAGAGTGCAGTTGTTGTGGTAGTGAGAAAAAGTCCTGCAACATTGACAGGAATTGAGCCCAATACCCTGGAACTGGAAAGCAAGCTCCTCAACCGCACATTAACAATTGTATTGCGACACAATATAGCATCCCCAACTACTAAGGCACCTGCTGTGGGACCGCGATATTTTGATTGTTTTAAAAATGAACGAAGTCTGAAAGAAAAGTTACAAACTTGGACCAACCCCATCGCTGATTTACGAACTATCTTACAATTAACAGACATTTTAAGGCTTGGAGGCCTATTTAAAAACTAAAGAAAGGATATCTTTTTAAAATTTAAGCCTCAAAAAGGTTCAATGAATATTAGGCCTATGTTAAATTAATAGAGTATACAAGGTACGGTAAGATATTTAAGGCCAGGCTCAAGAAAAATGTGATTACGCCCCATTTACCGCTTCCGAGTTTTTAGTCAAAAATGCTTTTTGTGTCTTTTTCAATGCTAATAACTTATACATTTCAATGTTTTTTGGCTTACTCTATGGAGTATTGCTTTTATATCATTATGTTCTAATAGGCCTACTTTGTAATTGTAATTTCCACAAGAACAACGTTAGGCCTACTTATAGACAATGGGTTTCCTTTATTATCCCGGTTATTAATCAAAATATTGGCGGCACAGATATAAAAAATGACTCATAATGGTAGTAAATTTCTGTTATAAGTTTAGATGAAGTGCTTCTTATTGATTTCACAATCCATACGGTCATGTTTGTCTTTAGAAAGATAATCATTAATATATACTTTTCGATATGAAATAAGGGGTTGACTTCGATAATCCATCATCTAACATCGGCACACGGCGGTCACTTGCCATGAACTAAACCTTATTCTATCAATAACATATATCTTGTATGTATATTAGTAAGCCTAAATCGGAAGAGGCCTGAAAACGTTATAGCAATAAGCTATGCAAGAGAGATGATGATGGTGATGATGATGATGATGATGATCATCATCATCATGATGATCATGATGATATAGCGGTGTAGAAGAGGTAGAGGAAGAGGGGGATTACGATAATGATGATTGTGATGATGATAATTATGATGATGAGGATTATTGATGTGATTGTAACTGTAGATGTGACTGATTAATATACATTATAACATAAATAATGTTTTGTATAATAATAGATAAAACATTTGTTACTTATCTGTTCTAAGCACTTTACTTATTCCTTATAAATCTTTAATACGATTTGATCCCGGTGACACCATAATGTGGTCTCCAGGTCCACAAAAGCCATTGTCAAATACGACATTTAAAGCCAGGCTCAAGAAAAATGTTGTATTTTTTTTTTTTTTTTTTTTTTATATGTTGTACCACTGATTTTTTTCTAAGACACAAACAACATATTTGTCGAGAAACTCGGGAGCGGTTAATGGTTCACTATGGAGTATTGCTTTTATATCATTATGTTCGAATAGGCCTACGTTGTATTTGTAATTACCACAAGAACAACGGTGTTCCTACTTATAGACAATGGGTTTCCTTTATTATCCTGGTTATTAATCAAAATATTGGCGGCACAGATATAAAAAATGACTCATAATTGTAGTAAATTTCTGTTATAATTTTAGATGAAGTGCTTCTTGTTGATTCCAAAAACCATACGGTGATGTTGGTCAAAGAAAATCATTAATATACTTTCGATTTGAAATAAGGGGTTGACTTCGATAATCCATCTAACATCGGCACATGGCTGTCACGTGCCATGAACTAAACCTTATTCTATCAAAAACATATGGCTTGTATGTATATTTTTAGTAAGCCTAAGTCGGAAGAGGCCTGAAAAAGTTATAGAAATAAACTATGCAAGAGAGATGATGAGGAAAAAGTGGAAGACAGTTACATAACATCTGGGTCGTGACCATGTGACTTGATCTGGACTAGGACCCGGGGCTTTTTCAGGTAGGCCTAACTGTCACTGCTAGAGCATCAATGATCTGGTGGTAGGGGTACTTCAGGATTTTAGAGGTCCTAGGCTAAAATAAACATTCATGTCCGTAGTATTTCTTAACATCCTATTTTAGACTCATTGTGTATCAACAAATACCTTTATTTGCTTTATTATAAAACGAATATAAGTGAAGTATAATTTTCCAGGTTGTAAAGAAAAAAAATACCACTGTCGCGTTAAAAGGTTAAATAATCATATAGTAATTTGAGTAGAAAAATATTTGTTACGATTTACCGTACCTCCAAAACGCTTGCACAAATCTGGAAGAAATATATCCCTTTAGGGCCCTTATAATTAAGGTAAGTTTTTGAATGTCTATTTATCTCCATTAAAATATTCTATAATAATAATAATTTTATTCTAAAACGAAACTACTAAATATTAAACGGGGAGTTGTCATTACAAAAGCAATAGGTCTACACAGGTTGTAAAGAAAAAAATACCAATGTCGCGTTAAAAGGTTAAATAATCATATATAGTAATTTGAGTAGAAAAACATTTGTTACGATTTACCGTACCTCCAAAACGCTTGCACAAATCTGGAAGAAATATATCCCTTTAGGGCCCTTATAATTAGGATCAGTTTTTGAATGCCTATTTATCTCCATTAAAATATTCTATAATAATAATAATTTTATTCTAAAACGAATCTACTAAATATTAAACCGGGAGTTTTCATTACAAAAGCAATAGGCCTACACAGGTTGTAAAGAAAAAAATACCACTGTCGCGTTAAAAGGTTTAAATAATCATATAGTAATTTGAGTAGAAAAATATTTGTTACGATTTACCGTACCTCCAAAACGCTTGCACAAATCTGGAAGAAATATATCCCTTTAGGGCCCTTATAATTTTCGATATGCCTATTTATCTCCATTAAAATATTCTATATTCTATTCTAAAACGAATCTACTAAATATTAAACGGGGAGTTGTCATTACAAAAGCAATATACCTACACAGCTCTATTCGTTATGCAGATTAGAACAGTGCAGAGGAAGGTAGCAGAATAATAATTTAGTAGGTAAGTGGAATGCCTACCATTTCAATGAGTTCTCAGCCTGACAAATGCGTATGATAAAAGACTTAATTTTTAAAAATTGAACATGCTTAAACTCCCTAGAAGTGGATAATAAATACTACTAAAGAAATATAATATTTTACCCTAATCTTCAGGTCTACGTGTAAAATCCAGTTTCGAGTATTTGTTTTTTCTTCGGGCAAATATATGGGTCGGGGTGCCGGGGTTACGCGCATGGTGGAAGAAATGACAGAAATCATAAAATAGGCCCTGTCAAATGTTATTGTGAATGCCGGGCTGGGCATATGGTCACAGAATGAAACGAAGAAGGAAACATAGAAGGAAAATAGATGCAGGAAAGATGCACTTTGATTGGAGATTAAATTTAGAAGTACATAAAAGAAATATAAAAATAGGAATACAAGTAAAAGGAAACTATTGATATCTTATAAGTAAACACGTTAAGTATGTATTACGTGTAGTCCCTACTCTACGATTCAGTATTTTCAATTGATTGTCTAGAACGTACTTCTTTTAATCTGGTTAAATCAATATTGGTTTTTGGTATAAGTACTCCTGGATTTATACGAAGAAAAGGTAATATAAAAGGCTCAATCATAATGATTGAGTGCCCATGCGCGATTATGATGCAATGGAGTATACGAATTAGTGGTAACAATAATACAATATGAAAAACAATTAAAAATACACATTATTCGTCATACAGTACAAAATTAGAATACGCCTATTTGAAAAAAAAAACAATGATCAAAAGAGAGCCGGTTAAAAACGTGTGTGATAATTATGATAAATTTCGTGAATGATAATTAGTACTGTGTAAGTATATATATGCCTATATATATATATATATATATATATATATATATAGGCCTAAATATAATATAATATAATATAATATATACAGAATAAATTAATCATAAAATGCATCTCTTTTTATCTATTTGTCTCACTCTTTGCCTGTTTGTCTCTACTTCTTTCGCTCTAATAGTTGAATATATAAAAGCAATCTATAGTATTTTTTAAAAATAATTTCCGTACTATCACCCACATTCGACGCAATACAAATTAATGCTTAACTAGAAAACGTGAAGGGTCACTTTAGGTAAGATCAGATTGGCCAAACATAAAACAGTTGAAAGAACAAACGAATTTGGCAAAATCTCCATAACGAAATGGGTGAAACATTCGAATGAAAGCAGATGGTATTATTTGAACAAGACATGACAATTAAGTGTGAACCAGGAACTTATAAAAAGGCGAACGGTTGACAACTGTCATAATTATGTCATGCAGGTGCGCGGGTACATGCAACGGGCAGAGGAGTGGTAGAGTTGAAGAAGGAACCCCGCATGGGTGAAGAGACACTTCTTAATTGAAATGAAAGCTGAAGAGGCCAATGTTGCATCTGCCTCCATTGTTAGATTATAGCGCTTGTCAACACCATGCGTACGGCAGCCAGGTGTGAGCTGTTATTGAGCCCCTTTATCTTCGGCACGTTTTGCTAGGTATAACTGTTGGAATCTGAAGGGGTGTTTTTTGATATTTGCTTGATATTCAAATACACCTGTGGCTTGATCGCTGGTTCCCACAGTCGTGAAAACTAGGACGCGTGGGACCATACTGTAGTAGAAACCATGGCAACTAGGCTTATTCCTCCTTCAGTGTTTCAATCTTTATTTTCCAACTGCCAATCCTCCCGACTCCCACTAGAGTTTCAATCTCAATTCTTGTTTACATGTTGCCAATCATAATAAATTATCGATTTTCGAACTTAACTATAACCATGTAGGGCTCAGTGGGGGCTTAGGGTTTACGCGCTAAACAAAACGTACAGTAGACCCAATCGATGCCAAGTTGAAATAGTCTCCTTTACAGACTTTATCGTGTGCTTCTCATTGGCTTTAGCCGTCTTGCTGATGAAAAACACAAATTTTATATTATTGTTTTAATTGCAATAATATATAATAATAATAATTTATATTGAAACAATATTTTAAAAATGTGGTTGGTACCGGTATGGGTTAAACATGAAAATGAAAATTTAAATCTTATAATAGACACCCTTTGCGCATTTTAAAAAAGGCACAATGTTTGACTGTCGTCAACAAGTACCGGTAGGTACCGTAAATCAAATGTCAGAATGTTCATCAAAATTGCAAAAAAAAAAAAATCAAAAAAAAAAAATCGTAGTTTTCAATTTATTTCCCCAGGTCTTTCCTGGCAAAATGTGAGCCGGAACATAATTGTATTTCCTATGGGAACTAAGGGTAGAGATGTAATTATTCAATAGGCAAAGAGATTGACACATGAAAATGTAGGTGTACTTATCGTCAGTTTTATCGTAGGCCTATATTGATTGATTCGTTTTAAAACATGAGCTGCAAAGAAACACACAAACTGTCGAATTCGTGATAAGGTTTGTTGTGGGGTGTTGTGTATCATCAGGCCTATTGCTATTTGCGTTTGTTTTTGAAATTATTTTAGAGTCTACAGTGGGCGAACGTTAACCTCGACGCGTAAAGTCATCGACCTAACAAATAATAAATAGAAAATACCCTCGGCGAAAGAACCTAATTCATAATTTGAGTACTGGCCTGTCGCTATCAACAATGTAGTGCGCAATTTTGTTTATTTGCAATTATATATAGAAGAACATTCAATAAAGATACCGGTACTAAATCGGATTTTTTCTTTATTAAGTCCTCGTTTGTGAACAAAAAAGATTGTCATTTCATAGCACTTTATCAGCAGTTGCCATAAAATAAGGTTTGTTGATCAAACTCATATTCAATCACACTACTTTTACATGATAAGACCAATCTTTAGAA